GGGCCCCAGGGGCTCCAAAGTGGTGCGAAGCGCTGGGGACACTCTGACACTGAGTTGTGTCGGCCTCTGAGGATAGCGCGCGTGACCCCCCTCCCCGCCCCCCCCCCCCAGAACCATGCCGCAGGCGTGAATCCTTGCAGCTTCCATGAGACTCTGTGTCGTCCGCGTACAACAAATCACCGCACACCATACAGTTTGGTAGTTCTGATCTAAGGCGAACGTCATAATTGTTTGCACAGTGATGAATGCGTACGGCGATAAAGGACATCCTTGCGCGATCCGATCCCTGCCCTCTGCTGCCTCGGCGTTGAGTCGCCGCCTGGGTCTTTTAAGTTGAATCCCCTTCCATCACAAATTGCCTTGATCATGTCCACCATTTGGTTAGGAAGACCAAATCTGGCAAGCGCTGGAAACATCGACTCGTGTTCGATGCGGTCGAAAGCTTTTGCCCAGTCCAATAATACAGCGAGTGCACCGGGTTTCTGTTGCAGCGTACGCGGCGTCGAAGCCGAATTGCGTTGAGCGGTTGCGATCTTTTGCTCCTCCACGTTGACATATTTTCTGTAGCATCCGAGCCAATACTTTGTAGCCGACTGCAAATAATGAGATTGGCCGGTAATTATCCTGCAACTTGGCGTCTCCCTTCTTGTACAATAGTACTTTTTCCGCCGCCTTCATTCTGCCAGGATGCGTTTTTGTTTCCAGCGTTCCGCGCAAAGGTCAAGCAAGGATTCGCATGCGTCCTTGGATGCAGATAAGAATTTCCAGAACTCTGGGTATATACCATCTGGGCCCGCCGCTTTTGAAACCGATAATGCGTTTTAATGCACACATCAGTTCTTCCATTGAAAACACCTCCGAGCTTGTATTTAGATTATCCCAGTGCGACCCTACCTAGGAGTTGGAACCCCTAGGAAAGCAGCATTAGTAGTAACAGTAACGCTAAGCTAAAGCTAAGCTAAAGCTAAGCTAAAGCTAAGCTAAAGCTAAGCCACAGCTAAGCTAAAGCTAAGCTAAAGCTAAGCTAAAGCTAAGCTAAAGCTAAGCTAAAGCTGAGCAGCAGCTAAGCTAAAGCTAAGCTACAGCTAAGCTAAATATAGCTAAAGCTAATCTACAGCTAAGCTAAAGCTAAGCTAAAGCTAATCTACAGCTAAGCTAAAGCTAAGCTAAAGCTAAGCTACAGCTAAGCTCAAGCCTCAAGCCAAGCTAAAGCTAAGCTAAAGCTAAGCTAAACGCTAAGCGAAAAGCTAAGCGAAACGCTAAGCTAAAGCTAAGCTACAGCTAAGCTAAAGCTAAGCTAAAGCTAAAGCTAAAGCTAAAGCTCCCAGGGGACTGGGGGGAACCGCTCCCAGGGGACTGGGGGAACCGCCCGGGGCGTGTTCCACTGCTGGGCCCCTTTAAGCTAAGAGAGTAAGAACCCTTCTAGGCAGAGCCTAGGTAGGGAAATATGTCCCAAAGGCTCCGTTCCTCCAGGCAGTTTGTCTGGGAAGCTGATCTTCCAGTGCTTATGTTCCAAATAATATGCTACAATGTTTGAGCTTTGGTCGCTCTACACGATGTCCCCCTCTTTGTTTTTGATTGATGCCGGCGTCTTCGGAGGTGTATTTTTGAGTCTTCGGATGGTTTTCCAGGAGCCCCTGGTCCCCGGCCACTGTAGACTTCAGCCACTTTGTTTTGTCCCGCCGCATTGCTTTCTTGATTTCTTTACTTAGTCTTGTCTCTTCCCCTGTGCCGTTTGTCCTTGCGTGGTCTCGCTGTGCCAGCAAAACCATGGTTCATTGGTCCTAAACACACCCTTACCCGGGGTCAGTCAGGGTGAAAAGGGCCGCCCGCGGGATTGGGCGCGTGCTGTTGTTCCCGATCAGCTTGTCGCGCGCGTGCGCTGGTTCAGCATCCAGGCGTCGAGGTGCATCGACGCTTTAAATTCAGGAGGGAAAGAAAGAAACACACAGGCACAATTAATCGTCGATTCCCAAGAAAATATGGGAAAATATGGGAAGTGGGGGGGAAGACAACAAACCCAGAAAATATAGGAAAATATGGGGAATCCTTTTATTTGTGTGTATTGATTTGCGTGTCCTGGTGCCCCTTCACAAATGGCTGCTTGTTTGGCTGCAGCATCGCGCGCTGGTTTTTGTTAGGGGTGCCTGGGGGCACGGGGATGCGAGCGCGGTTGGCTGCCGCGTCAGAGTGGCGGCGCCTGCCCCTTTCGTCAGGAGGGGAAAAACACACAGACACAATGAATCGTCGATTCCCAAGAAAATATGGGAAGCGGGGGGGAAGACAAGAACCCCCAAACATAGACGAAAGTATGGGGAATCATTTTATTTGTGTGTATTTATTTGTGTGTCCTGGGCCCCCTTCAGAATAAGAAGATCCCCTCCCTATCCTGGCGACTACTGCGTCTGAGCTTGCCCACAGGAACGACGTTGCAATCTCGCGCTGCCGGGGGGGCCGCAGTAGCCGCGTCGGGAAGGCTCTATGGGCAAAACTGATGCCCGAGAGCGATGTCGGCCAAACGCCACCTCGCCTAAGTACGGGTCTGTTCCTGGGGTGCCGTCGACGTGGCGTCGACGTGGTGCCCCCCAGAACATGCCTGGACCTAGCTGGTGTGATTCCTGGCGGGTTTTCCCGGGGGGGCTCCTCTGGTGACCGCGCCCAGACTTCGGAGCCGCTGTGCCTCTGCATCGAGCAATGATGATTTCCTGATTGCCCCGCGCTGACACTGGCGCTAGGTTTTTTCGCATTCGCCCCCGAATGTGTCGACCCCCCAACGCTAGAATCTGTGCCACTGCAGGCGCACCTCCGAACGAGCTGGTCTAGTTCGACAGCGATCAATGCAGAGTCGGCCATTCCGCCGATTCGAACGCACGTGCACTCGGCACCCATGGGTGCCTGGAGAAGGCAGCGTCCTGTAACGTTCAACCGGCCGTCGCTTTTACGATTGTGCAGCTGCTTTCGGCTGCGACGTGTCGCCCCCCCCGCCCCTTGCCACCCTGCCTAGGTTAGGGTAGGGGTGTCTTTCGCGATCGAGAGCGGTGGCACCTGAGATCCATGGTTGGTGTCGTCGTGTTTAGAGCCAGACTGCAATTCGTGAAGCTTCGTGCACGGCTCGTGCTACGTTCGCCGCTGCATCGTCCAAAGATTCTGTTTCGGGTCGCCTCGAACGCGCCGCGCCTCAAAATATGTTTCCCAAAATTTCGTATCCAATTGTGGTGGCCCCCTCAACGTGGCGAGGCAACATGATCGTTTGGGCTTTTCTTTGGCGTGCGTTCGAAGTGCATGTTCTACTTTGTCAACTCCGCGAAATGCCAGGTTGGCAGGGATGCTGTGCGATCGTTCAAGATATCCCTCAATATATTCATGTTGATATTTCCCACCAAGCAGAAATCGTGTTGTGCAACATGTTCTGGAGAAGGTGCGCTGCTAGCGTCCACGCCCCGGGCAGGCTGGAAGTACGTCACCGTATTAATGGCGGCGTGCTCGAAAAACGTGTTGTCAATCATTGAGCTCGTAGCCCTGCACGTTTCCAGCAATAATTAATTATTGGGCTGCGTTTGCCGTGATGGTGGAGACGAGTCCCATATATAATTTCCAAGTCGTTCTCTTCGTCAGCCTCTTGCATATCTATACCTATATATACACATATAGCCAGACATTGAACCCCCCGTAACCAAACATGCATATGTGAACACCATTGCGTTTCCTGGCCGTCGTAAAAGAGCCGAAGCAATATTTCCGATGCTCGTGATTTTTGCCAGCATGTGGGGCATACAATATTTTTGCTACGCCGCCGCTTGTTTCGAGTTTCACAGAAGCTCGCCTGTCGCCCAGCAGGCAAAAGTTTATGACGGACGCGATGGCGGATTGCGCAATGACGAATTCGACGCCTGAGTAAAGATATTCTTCGTGTCGCTGGAGTAAAACTATGAATCGCGTTCTTCGAGGGTCCTGGACAGTATTGCAAATACCAAGTCCGCATAGCATGATATGATTATTTGCAATGTGTTTCTTGCGCGCACGGAGTAACAATATCCAGTTGCACCATGGTCGGAAATTTGAACACATTTCGCATAATTTGTTCCAAGCCCTTGCACGTTCCAGGTTGCAACAAGTTGGTAATCCAAAGGTCTGCATGTTCTCTTTGGCAGCCCCACTTTCCCGGGACTGTTTGTTTCCAGCGACTACTGCCTGGTTGGGAGTGTTTTGTGTTGTCGATTTGTTGGTGTTAATTCGAAATTCGGCATCCCCGTGCTGTCTGAGTTGCCGCCTTCGTGTCCAAACCCTGGCGGCGCAGAGCAGGAAGATCAGGGTGATCAGAAGTTTCAGGATGAGGGAGAACATCTGCATCTCCACTGCTTTGTCCGCAGGTGCGGCCAGAGGTCGATGTAGAGGGTGGTGCAGTAAATGGGTGTGCATTCCCGCGCGAGAAAGTTGGAGAAACAGCCGATGGTTCTAGCACGAGGGTATATTTGTCCAATGTCGCGCTAATACTGGCATGGTAGTTCCAAGAAGCATGTGTCTCATATCCAGCTCCAGTGCCGAAGGTTTCCAGCACCAGCCAGAGTCTTTATTTTGTTGTGGTTTCTCTTTTGCCCTCGGTGGCTCCTTTCATACCGCGGCTTGCACGGGCCTCTACATTATCGCATGCTTGTTTGAGGTCTTTCACTTGGGTATTGTCTCGCAGATCCTCCAACTCTTCCCATTCCTTCATCTATGCGTATTCCAAGCCTTTTTCTGGAAAGTCTACGGTGATCGCCAGCTCCCCTCCGACGGAGACCTGCAGCGGTGAGCTTTCGATGACCTTGATCCTGTAGTCGACGTGCATGGTGTCACGCAACATGTAGTTCAGGCCAAAACAGACATTGCGAGCAGCACGGAGTGCAGGCGGTCTGTCTTACTCCCCGTGAGCGACGATATCCCTGGAGACTCGTACTGCTTAGATCGAGCAATATCTCGCTAGGTTTTCTGGTTTGCCTCAGTAGACGATCTGCCATTCTATGCAAGGACCCCGTAACGCTCAGACAATGTCTAAGGCATCGTTTGTCGAATGTTTAAGTGAGGCTGGTCGCAATGATTTCCTTGAGAAGGCGAAAAACCAGAGTTTCAGAAGTAGTTCTGGCACTGTCCGTGTCCAGCCCGCTAACCCAAAGTTTAAGAAGCACCGTGATTGGGCATTGGACAAGGCCACCGGATTGCTTAGGAGTGTTGCGCCTGGCAAGGCTGTGCAAGCCGATTTCAAGAATCGCATTGTGAATGTTGACGGTGCCAAGATATTCGAGCAGTCCAAGACGGATTTGGAGGAAGTCTTTGCGCCTCCCTTTACATTTTTTCTTTGACATAGGCGTGTTGGGGGGCTGCTGACTTGCATCACCCCTCTTCCTCCTCCTCCTCTACCCACGCCCTGCGCGTAAGGATAGTGAGCGGCCCCCGGGTTATGCAGTATCTTCTCGTTTCCGCCGTCGTGGTCGCAGATCCGCGGCATCGTTTGCAAAACGATGGAATCATCATTTTCAGGGCGTTCTTTCTGCAGACGGTTGTCCCACGATCGCTGCGCAGTTTTCTTTTCGAGTTCGCTTGCTCCGGGCTCTCCTGCCCGCGGACCCAAGGGCTCCCACGAGGGCGCGAAGTTATTCGCGCTTAGCGGTCCTCGTTCCTTCTCCCCCTCCTTCTCGTCCTCCTTTTCTCCCTTTGGGGGGGGCGGCGCGAGAGCGCGAATTATTCGCGGAGCGCGAAGCGCGAAGTTGGGAGCCCTAGGGACCCGAGAGCGCTGCGCAGTTTACTTCTTCGAGTTCGCTTGCTCCGGGCTCTCCTGCCCGCGGACCCGGGAGCGCAGCGCAGTTTGTTGCTTCCTCGGGTTCGCTTGCTCCGGCTCCCTCTGTTCCCGTCTCCTCGTCCTCCTCGTCCTCTTTTCCTCCTCGTCCTCCTTTCCTCCTCGTCCTCCTCGTCCTCCTTTCCTCTTCCTCGTCGTCCTCCTCGTACTCCTTGCTCCCTCTGTTCCCGTCTCCTCGTCCTCCTTTCCTCCTCGTCTTCCCTTGGGTCAGCGGAGCTTGCGTGAACTCTTTACTGGGTTTCACTGTTCTTTGTCTCAGGATGGTGGCCGCGGCGAATCCCGGCGTGAGCCATCCTTGGATTGGGCGAGTCTCACGATCTTGACGCTCAACATTCAGCGGTTTGAAGTGCACGAAAATGAATTATATGTTTTTCTCATTTCTCTTCCCTCCCTTCCTTTTATTATTTGTTTACTTGAGACTTGGCTTGACGAATCCATTGCTCATCCCAGTGTTCCTGGGTATTCTGTCGTCGCTCGTCGTGATCGGGACGGTCTTGGCGGAAACGTGTGTTTTTGCAGTTGATAATGTTGTTCCTTCTTGTTATTTTCTCCTCCGTTCTCCTTTTGCTGAGCGTGTCTGGTTTTTAATGCACACAGAGCTTTGGCCTGTATTGATATGCTGTTGGTATCGTCGTCCATGCCACGGTGAATCGAAGTCGACTAAATCGCTTACAGGCGAATGGAATTCGATGGTCGATCAGTGTGTAGGTCGCATTGTAACTGGCGATGTACATGCACGCGCATTGGCTAATCTTTAGCAGTCATGTTTCCCCGGATTGAACGTGTTTGAAACAGTGGTGTGTGGAGCGAGGTTGTAAGGAATGGATTCGGGTTCCTACTCGCGGTTCTCACCTCCCTGACATTATTTTTTATGTGACGCCCCGGATTTATAGCGGATCATAGCGCAATGTTGTGCTCAGTTTTTATGCTTCTGCTGCCGTTTGAGCACAATGAGCGTCGGCTGTGGCATTAAAAGGACGCAGATTGGTGATCGATCACCGCCGCTTGTTCGAGCAAGATTAGTCTTGGATCGATAAGTCGACGCCCAACATTGCTGTATCTTGTTTAATTCAAATGGTTTTATATGTTAGGAATACTTATATTCCCCCATCGCAAGCAGTCTCTGTAGTGTCGCACCCTACGATAAATCAGCACTATCTCGACGCATTCCGAGCGAAGCGATTAGCTGCTGGTGCGGACTGTTCCTTGTTGCCGCAGTTGCTTGTAGCGCTGCAATGCTGGAGGCCTTGAATGCGCACGCACAGCGTTCCCGGCAGAAGCTTCAGACTTTGGGGCGTGACAGTACGAAGTGGTGGAAGGTTTCTATTGAATTGTTGTCGCATGTGCACAAGCCTTTCTCCTCGCCACTGAAGCTTCCGGACGGCTCGTGGGCTCGTTCTGCATCTGCTAAAGCGGATGTTTTTTCACGCGCTTTCAGCAGCAAGTGGCGTTTGCTCGCCTCCGCGTCGTTCAGAAAGAGTTTTCTGATGTGTCGATTGCTGTAATTCCTCCAGACTGGTGGGGGCCCAGCATAATCCGCACCAGGTCCGCTCGAGCTTTTCTCAGCGGCCTCAGGCAAGACAGCGGTGCTGGTCCTGATCTTTTCCCTGCCCGTGTCCTGAAGAGGTGCGCTGGCAGTCTCGCGGTCTTTGTTGCGAAGCTCACTCGTTTCATTCTGCGACATGGTTCCTGGCTCTTGCAATGGCGGGAGCTCTGGGTACACCCATCGTTTACGAAGCTTGCCGTCAATAGTCCAAAGAACTACAGAGGTATCCAGCTTACTTCTCAGTTCTCTAAGGTCGTGGAGCGCATCTTCTTTCAGTTGTTCGGGCCGCAGCTGGACAGATTTGGCTGCTTCGGTGCGCGGCAGCTTGCTTATTGCCTTGGCCGGGGGCACGCGACGCAGTTTTTATTTTGTCATGCTGCGCATCGTTGCGTTATCTTCCGGCCGCCGAGGTTTATTGCATAGTTCCGATGTCAGCGGCGCCTTCGATAGAGTCGATGTGCCCCGCCTGCTTGCGAAGCTCCGAGGTTTTTCTGTCCCGGGCTGTGCTCGCGAGCTGGCTCGGCCGCCGCTCCGCTCGCGTCACTGTTCTGGGCGAGCTTTCTGAGCCCGCTCGCATGGACCATATGATAGACAGGGCACTGCGTTTGGGCCTCCGCTGCGGGGGGGGTCCGTTTTCAGATTCGTGCATGGTTGCGCGAGCCACCGGTTTTGAGTAACTCATTTACGCAAATGAGTTGAATGCGTTGCGCGTGCTCGATTGCAGCGTCACGAACGACCACGGCTACCGCATGCTCGACGAGTGCCGGACTTCCCTTCGCGGGTGGGTCGCTGCCAACCGGGTCGTTTTTTATCCAGGGAAAGAGAGCATGCAGATTGTCTCTCGCAGTCGTATTCGCGGTTCGTCATTCCAGCCATTGTGCACTGTTTCCGACCCGCGCCGTTTAATACACGAAGCCATCCAGGCTTGCGCTGGCGATTGCGGATGGTAATTACGATGTTGATTACGCAGCCGTCATTTTTGTTCATTATTCATATGCAGATATCATCTGATTGTTTGAAGCCCACATTGTGTCATGCATTGAATGCCGGAGTTGTGCGTTCCACTTGGTTCCCTCCTCCTCCCTCGCCCCCTTAGACGCTGTCCAAACGCGTTTTCTTCGTTCTGTGTCCGTTGCAGAAAAAAAAGGCTTTGCTTCATTTCTCTTCAGCCCCTCTCGCGAGCAGGCGCGACATTGCCACGTTCGAGGTAATTCATCGCGACGTTCCTGGACACGGTCCCAGCTATTTCTCCCCCTTGCCCCCCCTCCTCCCCCTCGCCCCCCTCGCCGCCGCCTCCGGCATCTGGAGGATCTTCCCCACGTGCGGGTCTCAGACGTCGCTCGTCGATCCGTGCTGGGCCCCGACAGCGTTGTAGCAGCCCGCGCAGTTCCCGACTTTCAATTTCAATCCTCACTCCAGGTTTTACTTCGTGATTATGCAAATTCGCACATGAGTGGCCAGAGTTATATAGTTGTCGCAGTCCGCTCGCAAGCCACCCTCGCCGTCGCTGCCGCGACTGGTTGCCTTTTGCTTGATGTAGGTGTTCTTGGTCTGTCCAGTCTGCCTCCCTCTTCCTCCCCTCTTTTTTTTGCTATTACGATTCCTCTCTTCTCGTTTTCCTTCTCCCTCCCTCTCGCCCTCCCCTTCCCTCCTTCCTCTCTTTCCTGCGCGTTGCTGTCGTTGCCGTCGTCCGCTGTCTCCCTCTTCTCCTATCCTCTCCTGAGTTTCTCCTCCCCGCGCGGGTTCTGAGCGGTGCTCGGTCCGCAGGCGAATTTCTCGCCCGGCGCGTCTGGCGCCTTCCTTGCCTCCTTCTCTTTTTCGTTCCCCCTCTCTTCGCTTGCTCTGCTGCTCCCTTCCCCTCCTTCCATCCCTCCCTCCCTTCCTCCTCCCTCTTCTTTTTTATTTTCTTTCTCGTTCCGCTTCCTCCTTCCCTCTCGTGCGTTCTTATTATGCAACGTTTAGTGAACCCTGGTGCTGTTGAGACTTTGCGCGGCTAATTTCATCCCTGCGAGGCTGTGTTTAGAATCCGAAATCTTTTTTCATTGGTTGTGACACTTGCGTTTCGAAGTAATACTACTGCAGTTTCTATTTCGGCTATGTCTGCGAATTCGGCGAAGACGACGTTGGTGAAACCGCCTTTGTAATGGACTCTTGAAGGCGTTGGCCCGGTCATGGACGCAAGTTTTTACCTAACAGCTTTTGCTGATAGGTTTCTAGTAGGGTCAAAAGAGAGCATCATGACTCCTCAGGGGGGTCTGGGCGGGTGCCGGGGAGGAGAACCGGGAATCGTTTTTCGCCAACAGTCACACATTTCGTGCTCTTCGACCTCCCAGAACTCCACTCCCGGGCAACATTCTGGAGAACCGGGAACTGAGCCGGGCTCGCTTTTCGCCAACAGTCACACACTTCGTGCTCTTCGACCTCCCAGAATTTCATTCCCGGGCCACATTCTGAATGCCCGGAGCTAACTGTAGGCCACTTCGTGCTCTTCGAATTCCCAAAACTCAATTCCTGGGCCACATTTTGGATGCCCGGAGCCAACTGTAGGCCACTTCGTGCTCTTCGATTTCCCAGAACTCCATTCCCGGGCCACATGTTGGATGCCCGGAGCCAACTGTAAGCCATTTCGTGCTCTTCAAGTTCCCAGATTTCCATTCCCGGGTTACATTTTGAATGCCCGGAGCCAACTGTAGGCCACTTCGTGTTCTTCTAGTTCCCAGAACTCCGTTCCTGGGCCACATTTTGAATGCTGAGGCAGGCTGATGCTGCGACCGAGGCAGGCTGAGGCTGATGCAGGCTGAGGCTGAGGCCGAGGCTGAAGGCAGACTGAGGCTGAGGCTGAAGCAGACTGAGGAGGCTGAGGCTGAGGCAGGCTGAGGCTGAGGCTGAGGCAGGCAGGCTGATGCTGAGGCAGGCTGAGGCTGAGGCTGAGGCTGATGCAGGCTGAGGCTGAGGCAGGCTGAGGCTGAGGCCGAGGCTGAAGGCAGACTGAGGCTGAGGCTGAAGCAGGCTGAGGCTGAGGCTGAGGCAGGCTGAGGCTGAGGCAGGCTGAGGCTGAGGCTGAGGCAGGCTGAGGCTGAGGCTGTGACTGCGACTGCCGTTGCCGCTGCGACTGTCATCGCGAATGCGACTACGACTGCGAGAACAGCAGAATTCTACAACTGGATTTTCATCTGAATCTTAAGGGGAATGCTTTCAGATATGCTTCTACACATCGCTGTTAGGTTGCTTTGCTGGGATAATTGTTCGACAATTTTTTGGCCTCCGGGAACCGGGCGCGGGTCGACGCTGTCCAAGTTTGACCGCGGTGATCTCCCTCTTGCCGTCAATGTCGGTGTATTTGCATTGCGATTGCGACCCTGAGGCACGACCTAGCGCGCGAACTGGACGTTCCAGGTCCTCAAGCTTTCCAGGGCCTCTGCCCCAGCACGCATTTCGTCCACAGCGGCCTTGATAGGCCGCGTTGTCATTTTTGCAGGCCGTGCCTGGAAGTTTTTCTGTTGTTTAATCACGGTTGCAATATATTGCTGGATAGTTTCGTATATGTTGTGCAATGAGCGTGCCGATGTTGGACAGCGATGCCTCGTTGCCCTTACCCTTGCCTTTATCTTCCTGCTGAGCTCCATCGGCCTCGGTGAGGTGTGTTTGGACTTGGCTTCGAAGTGCACTGGCGAAGGAGTCGTCGTCGAGACCGTCCATTCCATGAAGTGGATTGTGGATCCTGTGTTGCTTCACTCTCCCAGCTGGCCCCGGGATCGACGATGGTGAAGCAGCCCGTTGTGGGGCCTTGAAGAAGTGCTTGACAAGGGTTCCTGACGCGCGCTTGTCACTACCAACATAAGAAGGCATCAATATTAGATCGAATGGTCGGGACGAGAGTAGCGGGAAACAGAAAGGATGTAGGGGTAGAGCTTGTGGCCCGAATTCTAGTAGTGATAACTCCCATCGAATGTTAGCACTGGCGCATTTCCCAGACGACTGTGTTTGCACTGGCGAGGGAAGGGAACGTGACAGAACAATCCGATCGATCCGATACCGATGTCGATGTCGGCCAGCCCGATCAGATTCGACATTGATATTTCGAGGATGCGATGTGGCCCAAAGTTTGCACGTCGCTGTTGTGCATCCTTGCGCGTCCGATTTGACTCGATTTCGGCTCCGTGGTTGTGGTTTGGTTTGGGCTTGGGGGTCCTCCGCGGCCTCAGGCGGCCCGGCCGACATCTGCGCGCTACACCGAGGCGTCGACCGCAGTACCCAGTAGAGGTGTTGGAGCTCGGCTGTGGTTTCCGCCAGCCTCCGATGTGCGTCTTGCACCACCGGAATTCGGTCGACGTGTCCGTTGGCGCTTGCATCTTCGTCCATGCCGCCCCTCTCGCCATGAAGCAGGGGGGTCCTGAGGGCAAGGGGTCCTGGAGTCCGGTCCCCATTTCCGGAATCCCGGGGCCGCCAACAAAAACACCCCTTGGACGAGCAAGCAGTTGGTCCGGTGGGAAAGCTCACTGTTCTGGGCACGGTTCCCTCTGGACCCCGTTTCCGTTCACGCCAAGCGTTTTTTGTCCCTCTTTTCACTTAGATGCTCGTTTTGGTGACCTCCCAGCGACCCACCTAGCCGATCTGTTCGACTCTGGTTCTGCGCTAGTTCGATTACAGTTCCCTAGCTCATTTCTAGTTCGACTCAGGTTCCTCTCCAGTTCGGTTCACGTCGACGCACTCTCGACGCAGCATCGACGCACGAGTGGAGCGAGTGCCTGCAGGCAGATCCCCAGAACGAGCCCTCGGCCCGACCCTCCCCCCTCAAGGAGGCAGAGGTGGCCGCGCAGGTCCGCAACCACCTCCTGCTGCTCGCGAGGGAGAGCAAGGCCTCGATGGGGATAGGGGGGCGGGGGGGCGGGCGGCGGGCGGGCCAGGCGCCCACGGCCGCCCCTGGTGGCGCGCCGAGTGGCTCGACGGTGCGACGGTCGAAGGAGAGCACTCCCATCTCTAGGAGGATGCCTCCTCAGGGGCAACGATCGGGGGGGCTAGGCAGATGGGGGGGAGGCAGCGGCCCCCAATCGCCCACCGATCGCCGATGGGGGCCCGATAGCACCAATCTGCCCAGTAAAGGACGGATTCATTATCGGGGGCCTATCGCCGATCTATCCGCGATGTATTGCCGATTCTAGGTCGATGTGTCCCCCCTAGCCAGTCCCCCCCCCTATCGTTGCCCCTCACCTCCTGAGAGACCTGGTGGAGGACCCAGGAGCTCGCGCTACCCTGACCACTCCCAGTGGGAGTATAGGAGGCCACTCCTGGGGGAAGCAGAAGGCTACTCCAGCGAGGGGCCACATCAGTGCAATGACTCTGCGCCGCTCTCGGGCTCTGCATGGGGCCCTCGCTGGGCCTCCGGGCTACTCTGCATCTGCGGGGGCCCCTCCTGGTCCTGTAGATGGCAGGCTTTTGTGATACTTCGACGTGGGCTCGACGCGGATTCGACGTGAATCCGACGTGGACTCGACACAGATTCAACATGGACTCGACGCATTGGAAACGGATTCGACGAGGATTCGACGCGGATCGCGGCGAGACGGAACAGACAAGGTCGCCCGAAGATGCAACACAAGCAGGGGTTGTCAGGAAGAAGGTTCGGCACGAGAAGCAGAACCCTGAGAGAGGGCCGAGAGACCGGGGGCCCCGCATCCAGACATCAGGACGTTGGAATTTTGGGAGAGTTCCAATGCCGCTATGGATGGGCCGATGTCCCACCACCACTGCCACAGGTAGGAGAGGCAGGATGAGGGGAAAGAGGAGGAGGGCCTTTCCGTCCCCCTTCTCCCCCCGTCCTGCTTCTGTGTTGGTGGTAGTGGAAGGTTGGCCCGTCAGCTATGGTCACCTTGGCATCGCTCGGACTTTTGTGCATTTTTTGGGGCGAGGACCATCGAAGAGCACTGTGGGTCACCTTGCGAAACATGCCCAGGGAATGGACGTCCGAGCGATGGCGAGTCCTGGGGCCTGTTCACGGGCAGTCCTGGGGCTCTCGCGAGGGGCCCTGGCTCCAAGGCCGCGCCCTCGAGACCCGGGCCGGGGAGCCCCCCCCCCCCTCTCGTGGCCGAGGCTCGCCCCCCGGCCGGAGCAGCCCCGTCGCTCCCCTGTGTGGAAGTCGCTCTGGTGTCGGGGGCGGAAAAGAGGGGGGTGATGACTAGGGGGGGGGGGGATATCATGGCGTGGGCCATGATATTTCCCCAGATTTCATGGCGCCTCTTCTTATTTCATTACGTCCCTGGCCCCCCCGTTGGTCCGCGCACATGCCGACGGTCATGATTTGCACCCCCCCTCTTGGACACCCCCCTCTTGGCCGCTCCCGATGGTGGCACGATGTCCGATGCGGTGGAAGCCCACCTCGTCGGCCGTCTGGGCCTCTCGGAGGAGAGCCACTCGAGACAGCGCCGACCTTCCCTGCCTCCTCTCCGTTCGTGCTGGGCCCCACGGGGGCCTGTCCTCGCCACCGCCGGATCCGCCTCGAATAGCGGGTCGGGAGGGAGCCAGAGGGTCAGAGACGGGGCCGGGCCGGAGAAGCGCCCTTGTCTCAGCGGGCCCTGCTGAGCTCTAACCACCTTGGTTGGAGCTCGTTTTGAGGAGAAGGAGGAGGAGGAGGAGGAGGAGGAGGGGGAGGAGGAGGAGGAGGAGGAGGAGGAGGAGGAGGAGGAGGAGGAGGAGGAGGAGGAGGAGGAGGAGGAGGAGGAGGAGGAGGAGGAGGAGGAGGAGGAGGAGGAGGAGAGGAGGAGGAGGAGGGGAGGAGGAGGAGGAGGAGGAGGAGGAGGAGGAGGAGGAGGAGGAGAGGAGGAGGAGGAGGAAGGGGAGGAGGAGGAGGAGGAGGAGGAGGAGGAGAAGGAGGAGGAGGATGAGATCTAACCGACCTCGTTGGATCTCCTTTCGAGCTCTAGCCGCCTCGGTGAGATGTTCGCTGTGCGCGACGTGCGGCGCGCTCCAGGAGGGGCCTCGCCTGCGGCGCGCCTCGCCCTCCGCGGGGGCCGGCCGGGGGGGGGCCGGCGGAGGCCCAGCGTGGCTCGGGCGGCGGCGGCCTTCCGCGGGCGGAGGGGCGGGCAGGAGGCGGCAGGCGTAGAAGAGCGATACAGTCGGGGCCCTGAAGAAGGAACCCTTTTCGTTGGGGAGGGGCTCCGCGTTCCTTAAGTGTTTCGCAGCTTGCCTCAGGTTTGCCTTAGGTTTTCGATAGGAAATCGAAGTTTAACTTATGGAAAAAGGGGGCCTCGTTCCTTATTTAGGGTTCCTTAGGTCAACGCCCCGACTGTACGTCAGCGGTTTTGGATCCAGGGTTTCGGGATCGTTTCAAAAAAGGTCAGATCAGCGAAGACCAGTGCCACTGACCCAGTTCCACGGACCCCATTCGCCAGAGCAGCTTCCACAGACCCTGCACGACAGAAAGGGCCGTCTTGGGGCCCTTTTGGCCCATCTTAGAGCTTCAGAAGAGCGTCTTGGGTTTCTCTGGAGGCCATCTTGGGCCAGATTCGAGCTCTCTTGGGGCCAATCTGGGCCATCTAGGGGCTCTCTTGGAACTTTCAGGGTCGACTACACGTAGGAGTGACCCTTCGCCGGAGTGACCTTTGGTGCGGGCCCATTGGGCTCCCCGATCGCCGAACGCGAGGCGGTGGCGGCGTCTTGCGCGCTTGCGTTTGCCCCCCCCTCCCCCCCCCCCGCGGCCCCCACAAAGCCGCGCACCAAAGGTCACTCTTACGTGTAGCCGAGTCTGCCATTGTGTGAGTGCGGGCGGCCAGCTGGTTTTCATCGTTTCTCGTTGTGCCCCGCGGCCGCGAACAAGGGGCCAGGGGCTGGGTCCCGGTACGCAAGCGTCAGCGTTCTGGGTTCTTCCCGGCCTCCTGCCTTGGGAGCGGAGCGACACGCGATCAGCATGCACGGCGTAGCGCGTCGCCAGGCCGCTGCGCCGTGAAACGCGAGGCCAACGTTCCTGACCGTAGCCTTCTCCTCCCCGCATCAGTATCGTGCAATGTTAACCGATCCTCATCCCCATCCCGATCCTCACCATCCCATCACCCCAGCTTGGGATATGCCCCTCGAAACTCGAAGGGAGCAGCCTATATCCCCGTCTAGAATGGTACATCGACCAGTGGGATCCAGGCCACGCCAGTCGGGATAGGGGTCAGTTGAACGATGCTCAAACGTCCATGTGCAGGCGACAGAGCTGGCCCGCTGCGAAAGCAGCTGCAGAGGCACCAGGCGCAGGCTGACCTCTGCGCACGCGCTAGCCATGTGTGAGGCATGGCATATCTCGAGCAGCAGCGCGCGGCATTACTTTCTAAGCCTCCTCCGAAGACGCAGACGGTTCCTCAGCTGGCCGAAGGGTTTTTGAGAAGCCCTGGACGGCCTGCCCCATCCCCTCCTCCTCTTCTGCACCCAGCGGCCTCCGTGCGGAGGTCCAGTGCGCCACAGGCGCGCCTCTACACCCCCGCCTCTCCCCTTCGGGAGCGCCTGCCCTTGGCCAACGCCCGCAGCCTCGTTCTCTAGCTCGCGCGCAGCTCGCGCCGTCCATTTCGTTCGCGTCACAAGGGCTCTGCACCGGAGAGGCGGGTATGGCCAACAGGGGGGTCACACAGCCCCGTTGGGCCACGGGGCCGAAACGGGGCCACAACAGCCCCGTTGGGCTCCCGAGGGCTCCCCCCGAGGGCTCCGGAGAGGACTCACACAGCATGCGCTCCAACACGGGTGCGTGACTGCCGCGAACCGGCAACGCTACAAAATGGACGCGGCCATCCGTATGCACGGCCTCGCGGGCCAGGGCCTTGGGCCGCGACCCTGTGGAGACGGGGCGTATTTTCGCGGATGCCCCGCGCAGAGCGTTCCCATGCGAGCGCGTATCCACGAGATCGCGCTCCAGAATCCAGACCGCGAGGCTGCGGCGAGGATGTGGACATGTTCGCCGCTCGTGAGTTCCATCGCCGTGACGGCCCAGAAAAACCCGACGGCGCGATTCTTGAAGCGCGCGGCCCCAGAAGGGTCCCGACCCTTCCCGTCCTCCCCGGGGTAGCACGTCGTTTTTCGCCTCGGACCCGTTCTTGTGCTGGCCCAGGCTCCCGATAGCGAGCCCCAGCCGAGAGCAAAGAGGAGCGTCGGAGTTGAACAGAGTCACATCGCTCAAGAGACTCAAGAGACTAGGGTCAATGCAAACGGGGGTCAGTCAGGGCGCCGGATATTGCAGGATCCTGCAGAGCCAGGATTGCATTGACTCCTCCTCCTCCTCCTCCTCCTCCTCCTCCTCCTCCTCCTCCTCCTCCTCTCCTCTTCCTCCTCTTCCTCCTCCTCTTCTTCCTTCTCCTCCTCCTCTTCCTCCTCCTCCCAGGCTTGGGTGCAGGATCGTGCAAAGCCTGACTGATCTGGGTCTGGCCTGACCCGTGGGTCGGCAGGTCCCCGAACCGCTGGAGGTCTGGGGAGGAGCAGCAGGCGAGCGCGGTCGCCGCCTCGGCACGGAGCTCGGCCTCGGCAAGACGGCCCCACTGGCACCCCCAAGTAGGGGCCCCGAGGAGGCCGACACCGCCAGCCAACCCCGAAGAGCCCCCGGGCAACCCCCAAGCCGGCCTACAGATTCCCCAACGACGCCCCCCCAGGGGCCGTGGGAGGTCGCCAACAAATGTTTCCAAGGGGCTCCTTGGAGGCATCCCAAGGGCGCGTCCACGTCCTGCACGGTGTTCCCGGAGAGGCGTCTGGAGACATCGATTCGATCTCGGCGGGGCCGACCGAGGAGCTCAAGTCGCGATGCCCCGATCTCGTCGGTTTAAGGTCGGCGATCTGTCTGCCTCGCCTTCGGTCGGCGATCGAGCGCTCTCGAGGGTGCGCACGTTCGAGTTGGGCTCGACGGCGAACCGGGGCGGACATCTGCAGCTCGGGGCCAGGCTCTGGCGCTGCGCCGGGCCTGCCGCCACCCGGCGCCTCCGCGCGTGCGAGCGATGCTGGGGGTCGCGCGGGCGCGGCGACGAACGGCGGGGTGCCTATGAGCCGCCCCGCGCAGCAGCTGCTGCGCCTGCTGCCCGCGCGCGCGCCTGCGGGCCGCTTCAGGCTGCAGCGGAGGAGTCGGAGGGCCTCGATGTATACAACACCACGTCGTTTGGCAGAGGAGGTCAGTTGAGATAGCGGTAGTTAGACCTCGGGGGGCCCCCTCGTCGCAACGGTTGGGCGCAGCTCGGAACGTTGGTGCGTTTGGACCACGGGAGGGGTCCAGAGGGAACGATTTCGAGCTACCGTTGTCCAAACTCGCCCTGCTCCGAGTTTGTGGCCGGCCAAGGCGCTCGGCGACGGAATTCGGTGTGTGGACGCTCCACGGTCCCACAGGTTGGGGAACTGGCGCGTCCTCTTCGGCGGCGAAGTCCGAGCCCAGCCCTCGCCGATCAATGATTCAGGCGACTCGATGGGCGGCGGAGGTAGGGTTCGGAATTCGCCGCCGCCTGCCTATACACTTAGATTCTTGGCCGACCAGACGACCGGGTGTATACGTCGAGCCCTTCCCGAGGAAGGACGACCTGCGCCAGCAGGCCATCTCCGCAGAAGTCACCTGAGATGCTCAGGCCCCCGGCGATGTGATTCTCTCCGTCCAGGGCGTCTTCTTCTTGAGGAGGGGGAGGGGGAGGAGGAGGAGGAGGAGGAGGAGGAGGAGGAGGAGGAGGAGGAGGAGGAGGAGGAGGAGGAGGAGAGGAGGAGGAGGAGGAGGAGGAGGTGGAGGAGGAGGAGGAGGAGGAGGAGGAGGAGGAGGAGGAGGAGGGGAGGGAGGGAGGAGGGGAGGAGGAGAGGAGGAGGAGGAGGAGGAGGAGGAGGAGGAGGAGGAGGAGGAGGGAGGAGGAGGAGGAGGAGGAGGAGGAGAGGAGGAGGAGGAGGAGGAGGAGGAGGAGGAGGAGAGAGGAGGAGGGAGGAGGAGGAGGAGGAGGAGGAGAAGGAGAAGGAGAAGGAGGGAGGAGGAGGAGGAGGAGGAAGAGGAGCTGGAGCAGGAGCAGGAGCAGGAGCAGGACTGGAACAAGAGCAGGAGCAGGAACAGGAGCAGGACGAGCAGGAGAGGAGGAGGAGGAGGAGGAGGAGGAGGGAGGAGGAGCAGGAGGAGGAGGAGGAGGAGGAGGAGGAGGAGGGGGAGGAGGAGGAGGAGGAGGAGGAGGAGGAGGAGGAGGAGGAGGAGGAGGAGGAGGAGGAGGTGGAGGAGGAGGAGAGGAGGAGGAGGAGGAGGAGGAGGAGGAGGGGGAGGGGAGGAGGAGGAGGAGGAAGGAGGAGGAGTGAGGAGGAGGAGGAGGGCAGGAGGAGGAGGAGGAGGAGGAGGAGGAGGAGGAGGAGGAGGAGGAGAAGGAGAAGGAGAAGGAGGGAGGAGGAGGAGGAGGACTTGTTCCTCTCCGCTCGGCCTCCCGGGGCCTGCCCTCGGGCCCCAGGGCCACCACGAACGGACCCGCCACGAGAGACTGCCCCCCGGCGGAAGACCGCGCGCCGCAAGAGCACCTCGCCGGCGGCCTGGGCCCAGGCCTGGCCAGGGCCGTCCCGGGCCCCTGGCCTGTCGTGGCAGAGCCGCCCGGCCATGGTAGGGCGCAGCACGGCCCTGGCCAGGCGCGCCATTGGCGTGCCTGGGTGCCTTCTGCGGGCCGTCGGCTTCCAGCGCGGCTCCTGGACGCACGGCCTCGGCGACCTGGACGGTGAGGGCGCGGCCGCACCGGATGCCAGGGGAGGAAGCGCGCGCCGATGCCGAACCCCATGCCCTCGCTCTCGTCGCGCCTCCTCGCGGGCCGCCTCCCGGGGAAGGGAGGGGCTCGTCGCGAAAGCCGCTGGATTCGCCGCGGAGCACTGGTCATAGTTTTTTGGGCCGGCACCGCCAGCGGACGCGGGCGCGAGTGTCGCTTGGTTGCCACTGACCGGCACGCGCAGCCCTGGAGAGGTCCAGGGAGCAGCGGCGTCGGTGCTTGTCTGCCCTCCTCCGAAGCATCTGCACACCACCACCGTGCCAGGCCAGGGCCATCCTGGGCTCCAGGATGGTGTAGAGCCCCCCCTGGCCTCGGCCAGGATGGCGCATACACCAGGCCAGGGCCAGGATGGCCCTGGCCTGGCACGGTGGTGGTGTGCAGATGCCTTCTGCATGCCCTCCCCCAGGGCGGCCCCGCCGGGAGCGAGGCGGAGGCCGGCGCGGAGCTGGAGGCGACGCCCCCTTGGGCGTTCGTGGGGCCCGGCGCCCACCACGGGCTGCACGAGGAGATCTACGGGCACGTGTCCAATGCCAAGTGGAAGGTGCGGTACCTGAAGGTCGGGAAGCTATCGTCCACGCGGAAGGCGTCGGTGCCCGCCTCAATCCAGAAGGGGCGAAGAACAGCGCAGTTACAAACCTTCGGAGGTTCGCAAGGGTATCTCTTGGGTGTGCGCTGGGCCCCCTCCCTTGCGCGCGAAGCGCGCCGGGGTCGGCGCCAGAGGCGCTGCCAGGGGGGGCACTTCGCTGACCCGAGGCGTCCCCGCGCGGACCTCCGAAGATTTACGCCGGCGCCGTTCATTGTTCTTCTGCCATCACCGCCCTCGCTGCTAGCGGCCAGCCCAAGGATCGGCTGCATGAGGGGCTTCGGGAGGCGCGCGGGGTGCTTCTTGTCTACACGAGGCGTTCTGGAAAGGGCCCCGTCTTCGAGGATCAGAGGAGTTGCTATCTCTTGCTCGGCGGAAGGTCGGCGGAAGCCCGCGGAAGCAACACGGGGCCGCCTCCGCCAATCTCCGCCAGCGGAGGGCCGGTGGGACATGAGAGATGCGCTTCCAGGATTCCAAGAGGTGGGTGGCATCATTGGGGCGTTCGGGGTTTCCAGAGCCCGCCATATGCGGTCACTTTCAGGCGCCCGGCGATGTGATCTTTCGGTCCGCGGCCACAGAAGACCCGGCTTCTTCCGTGGGGCAGGTTTTGCGGTCCGGGAGACATATGGATGGTCCCGGGGTCTGAACGTCGGGGGTATCCAGCAGGGGGGGATGAGGGTCGGGGGCTGATGTGTCCCAGTTATGATGGCTCCTTCTTCTCAATATCATAATTTTCTTGTCTTTTCTTCTTGTGAAATGTATTATCATTCGTCGTCTTCTTCTTCTTCTTATCATTGTTCTTAGTTTTACGAATCGTATTATTATTATTCTTCGGCGCGCCCGAGAGAACGGCCCCCCGCAGCCGAACTTAAGGAACGACGTCTCGGTAGGAAAAAAACACGTCGTCGGAGATATGGGATTTTGTCAGGGGCCATGTCAGCGGTGGGGGGGGCTGGCCCAGGTCGCCAAAGGGGCCAGGGCATTCCAACCTACCCCCCAGGAACTTCGCTATCGAGGGCCTTCATTGTCTCCCCCCTCAGCGAATTACGCCCTGTCTCGGCAACTGTAACGGGTGTGATTAAGCCAAGGTGTGATTTGCGATCTGCGCTGTTGGGGAAATGGGTGCGCTACGTTGCGCCAAAGGCTTGGTGAGCCCTCATCGGGGCGGGGCGCAAAACTCTGTCGAGGTCCGCGCTCGCTCCCAACGGCGCGTGTCGCAAACCGCACCCTGTGCAAACCATAATCATAAAACCCGAATCATGGAACTTAGCGAAAACAGTCCCGTGGGATTGTTACAAGCATCGAGATGTTTAAACAGTCGCGGGGGACTGTTTGAAAGATTTCGAGACAGCGATAGAAAAGAGCAGAAGGGAAAAAGAAACGACGACGACTGGACGCCACATGATGCTACTGGAGGCGTTCCGCCGTGAGAAGCGGAGGAACAAGAGGAAGAGTAGGGAGGAGGACGCCGACGAAAATATGGTGGAGGAGGAAGAGAAGGTGGAGATGGGAGGGGAGGAGGGCCGAGGAGGGGATGAGGACGACTTATACATTAAGTGGGAGGAGGGGGACGAGGAGGAGGAGGTGGAGGAAAAGGAGGAGGAGGAGAATGAGGAGGACGAGGAGGAGAAGCAGGAAGTGGAAGGAGACAAATGGAGGAGGACGAATACGTCGGAGGAGAAGGGGAGGAGGACAAATCGTTGTAAATAGGAAAGGATCGACGACGATCTTTTAGCAACTCGTGCGGAGGTGGCGGAGGACGACGACGAATAATGAGGAGGAGGAGGAGGACAATGATGATGATGTTGATGCTGATGCTGCTGCTGCTGATGATGATGATGATGATGATGAGGAGGAGGAGGAGGAGGAAGAGGACGAAGAGAAAATGGGCTGAGCACAGCTGGAAAGAGAGAGAGAGAGGGGAGGAGGAGGAAGAGGAGGAGGAGGAGGAGGAGCTGGAGCAGGAGCAGGAGCAGGAACTGGAGCAAGAGCAGGAGCAGGAGGAGCAGGACGAGGAGGAGGAGGAGGAGCAGGAGCAGGCGGAGGAGGAGGAAGGAGGAGGAGGAGGAGGAGGAGGAGGAGGAGGAAGAGGAGAAACAAAAAACGGGTGCAACAGGACGGAGGCGAGGGCGAAGGGGAATATTCCGAACCAGCAGGAGGACAGAGGCGCAAGGGGCAAACGAGGCGGAGGAACTTTTAAAAGGATACCGAAGAGGAGACAAACGATAAGTAGGAGGCGGGGGAGAGAGAAATACGGCTGAGGAGGAGGAGGAGGGGAAGAGGAGGAGGAGCTGGAGGAGGCGGAGGAGGAGGAGGATAATGAGGAGGACGAGGGCAACACATCAGTAATTAGGTGGAGGAGGAGGAGAAGGGGGAGGGGGAGGAGAACGCGAGCGACGAATAGTACGTAGGACTCGCCCTCATCCATGTCGCAATGTCTGGTTCAAGCCGTTCTTCGGTGGGGCTTCATTGTTCCCATTTCGAAGGGATCGACGAGGACCGCGTCCGCGCGCCCGTCGCGTGTTACATTTTGGGAAAAGAGCTCCCAGCCGCGAGGGCGCCGACGCCCACCTCAGACGCGCGCGACCGCAGCGATGGAGGCGACGGCGGAGGACATCGTCGAGGCCGCAGTAGCGGACAAGACGGCGGAGGTCAGCAGGGTTACAATGGCGGAGAGCAGCGCGACGAGTGGGCAGGCGGCCGCTGGAACGGCGAGGAAATTAGCGGATGGGGAGGCAGGCGGTGGAGCGGATGGGGCGAGGGTTGCTCGAGCGGGCGGGGTGGCGAGGCGAGTGGCATAGCGGCCGCAGTCGCGGATGGCGGGGCGATTGCCCGAGCGGAACCAGCGATTCCGCGGGGCACGCGCAGGGCCCGCAGCCAACGGCAGCGGCGCACGCGGAAGCCGCTCCACCGTCTGCCCCCGCGGAGACGGCGCAACCCTCGGCGGCGCCCCGCGAAGGCGACAACGGGGAAGGCGCAGCTACGATTGGCAGAGGGAGCGGCGCAGTCGCGCCAGTCGCAGAGCCGGCAGTCGCGGAGGCAGCGGCGCCCACCGTGCACGAGCTTGAGCACATCGAAAACTACGCCAACAGCTGGAACGGCAACTTCACGCAAAGCAGCGCGGCGTTGAAGTTCGCTCGAGGTGAGCTGGTTGGAGGATCGCGCTTGCGCCCGCGTCTTCAACGCCGCAGTTGCGGAGCAGATCCCGTGCATCATCAAGACCAAAAGCAGCGGGGCACATGATGGCAACGCGAGCTGGCAGTTTAGCGGCGGCAGCTTCACTCCATGATCTTGGGCGCCTCTACGATGGAACGAGCGGTGTTTGGTCCTGGCGGAAACCGCAGTCGCGGCTTGGTCAGTTGCGAATTTTGTCCGCGCCCGAATTCGCGCGACCACAACAGGCAGGCGAAAAGCGCGCGCGACGGGGGTCACGAGCACGTCAAGCTGCGCGGGCGGGGTTTGCGACGGCCCGGGCATTTGCATTCGCCCCGAATGGCCCAGAACAACTTGCGCACGCACGAGTCGCAACCCACTGGAGTGCTGCGCGCCCGCCGCGGCGCTGGCTCGGCCTGAGCGACGGGCCAGGCGCGTTCCTCTGGGGCAAGCAGGCGGGCGCCGACGAAACGTTGGGGCGTTTCGTCGGCGCGAGCGGGGCTCAGTTGTGGCAAAGGTGGCAATTGCTGCAGCAATTTGGAGCGCTTGCGCGCATCAAACCGCAGTCGCGGCGATCGCCTCATTGCGGCGAGGCGGCGCGCCGCGCTTTCAAGCGCGCGGCCGCAGTTGCGGCGATGCTGTCAGTGGCCGGACAGGCCCATCAAGTTGGCGCGCCCGCAGTTGCGGCGCTCGCAGCAGCAGTCGCGGCAGGTGAGAACGGCGAAAAAAAAACATTCGTCTTCATCCCCCCTTCTCCTTCTCGTCATTCTCCTCGTCGCCAGAATTATTGCGCGCCTTTTTCTTTGCGTGCCCTCTCCCTCGCGCACTTGGTCCCCGCTCCTCCTCGTCGTTGTCCGCGTCGCCCCTCCATTCCCGCTCTCTTGTGCTGGGCCATTCCCCGGTTGCAGTGCCGCCTCTTCGTCTGACTGCCCCCCCCCTTGTTTCCGCCCGACCAGTCGTCGCTCTCGCACCCTCGCCCGCCGCCCCCCCCCCCCCCTCCCGAAAAAATGCATCTCCGATCGCGCGCCGGGGGGGGGGGGGGGCGCCGCGCCCGCGGCGCCATGGAGCAAGCGCTGCGGCGAGCGTCTACTAGTCGAGAAGCGCGCAAGCGAGGCCGCCCTATTGAAGCGCGAGCCAGCCGAAGGGGCCGAAGAAGCTGAGCGCGCTGAAGGCGGGCCTGCAGGAGCCGAAGGTCAACCTGCCTGGGTCGACAAGAAGCTGAAGGTGCTGAAGGCGAACCTGAAAAGGAGGCAGGCGGCCCTCGCCAAGCAGGCGGCAGAAGACGCCGCCGCGGTTGCCGCAGTTGCGGAGGCGCGCGGCGCGTCCGAGACAGAGGTCGAGGAAGAGGTAGAGGAAGAGCCCGCGGTCGCGGGGGGCCGCTGCCACAGCGGGAAACTTCAGCGAACGCAGCAGGGCAGCTGCGAATGAGGAAGCGGAGGAGGAGGAGGACGAGGAGGAGGAGGATGAGGAGGGCGAGGAGGAGGTGGAGGAGGAGGAGGAGTCATAGGGCGCAGGGTCTTCTTGCGCAGGTATTTCAGAGGAGGAGCAGGCCGCTGAACTCGCTGCTCGGGCGCTCGAGCCGCTGAGCGCAGCTGGGGGCTCAAGCAGGGTGCAGCTGCGCGCGCGGACGGGCAGCGCTCAGTTGCGCGCGCGGGAGCCGAAAGCGCAGTTGCGCGCGATGGGGGGGGAGGGGGGGGGGCGACGCCCGCGCCGACGTTCCACGGCGGACCTGCGCAGCCGCGCGAAGCAATTGCGCGCGGAGCACGCCGCGGAAATCCAGGGGCAGCTGAACCTTGGGCCCGCTGTTCCCGCGGCCAAGTGGAGCGCCCAGCGGCCTCGGAGCCTGGCGCCGGCGGATCCCGCAGACAGCGCGGACGGCGAAGTTCACGAG